AGTTTAAAAGGAAATAAAATAATCCTCTTTAATACAAGATTAGTTAATAATAATAGCTTTGGTGTATCTTTGAAGCATTTGATAAGGGTGTTGACTTAACCTATTAGTAGTAGAAGAGAATGCGATAGATGACATGTGCTTGTGGTATATTTTCTTGGATGATGTGACTACCTTGCATTCGAACATATCCATTGTATTCATCTCATCCGATGCACCGATTGCATAGGCACTTACACGCATTGCATCATACAGGATCGCAAACCGAGAACCTAGTCATCATTCCCGAGGAGCCCGAGGAGCAGCTCGAGTGTGCGAAGAGGAAGTGCCGAAGAAGCGACGAGGAGGACGTTGAAGAACTTAGGAGTGCCCCGATCATCGCCTCGAGCTCCTCGAGAGAGGCAAGCCCTAGAGCATCTTTCTCCCGGTTTGCAATGATTTCATTAAATGATTTACTTTAAATTTATGCATTACGTTCGGGAGTTGTTTGCAACCGTTCTTTGCATTATACCTTATTTACCTTTGTTATACTATATCCTTGTTACCACGGTATCCGCATGATGAGTCAATGCTTATTTGGCTTAGACCGGTAGAAGTCGGGTGATTTCTGTCACTGCGAGCTATAGGTGGTTACGGATCTGCTTGGATGGCTATGAAGTCATGGTATAACTAAGTGTTAAATGAAGTTGAGACCAAGGCGGAGACTTGCGAGTTTTTGGACTGTAGTGTTTCCGTCGTGTCGATTAAGGACCGACCGTTGTTGGGCCTCGAGTCATGTTGAACGCATGCCTTACATTTAGTCGGGCCGGATAAAGTACCTTCCGACCGTGAAGTCGGGAGATTTTTCGGGCCGAGTAGATTGCCCCAGCGACCTGTGCAAAGTGCAGTGTGGTAGGACACGGGCGGGATGATAAGACCAAAGTGCGATCGGTCGGCCCCGGTACATGTGGTTCTGGCAAACTCGAGATACCTAGAAAGTTGACTCGGTGATCAATATCTCACTTTAGCGGGTGAGTGAGATTTGTGTAAGGAATAAATCACCATTTGGTTAGGAATCGATTCGAATCGCCATCGCTCTGGATAGTGAGCACTTGACTTGAGTGACTTCATCGTAGTAAATGTTTATGGAACACTTGGGCAGCTTATAGTGAATATGAAGATGAAAGTTGTTTAATGATCGTGATTATCATTAATTGCTTAATCACATGTTTACTCTAGTATAGGTGCAAATCTAGTCAACATGTGTTCATAATAATTAACTTGGCAATAATGCTTTTAGAAAGGTTCTTGAAATGCTAAAAATGCTTCTTTTGCAAATGAGTGACTACCCTACTATAAAGCCTTCATAATCCTTGGTGTCATTTATTTTCGGTTATGTCGGGTAAGTCTAGCTGAGTACCTTCTCGTACTCAGGGTTTTATTCCCACTTGTTGCAGATGGGCAGATGTATTACGGCTATTGTATCAACTGCCTTTATCCTGCGATGGGTGATGCTTAGGACCATGGGCATGGTCATTCCTTACGTCTCGTCTAATGCTTTTGTTGGAGATGATCATTCGCTGGCACTATATTTGAACTCCGCGTGAGTGTGTGTGGTTTGAACAAATGGCTTCCGCTACTTTTATTCGAACTGGTTTTGTAATAACTATGTTTAAACTCTGATGTATCTGAGATTGAGAACTTTTATGTAATATGTGATGGTGACCGCTAAACTTATTACGATCTTGGCTGGAATGGAAGTTGGTTTGAAATCCTTCGTGATTTCACGGACTACCGGGTTATACGGGCTTAAGTTTGCTAAATCGTCTGCCCTGGCGGATGATTTTCTCACTTAATTTCGTATAATTGGTCGGTTCTGTTACACACTTCTGGCCACCAAAAACACAAAGCTGGAGCAGTTTTGCATATGGACACAAAGCCGCGAAAAGTGGCTTCGCATGGAGGGCTCCTCTGGCCCGATAACAGAGCGTGCGTGGAGGAGTCATGTCAAACGTGTCCTTAGTCGCGCCAAAGGCCATTGTGTGACTTGCCACTGCATTCATGCTACATGTAGTGGAGTGATTAAATAGAGTGTTGGCGTTGTTGGGGGTATTTTCCACGTGTGTTGCGGACATGGCAGTTGAGTCACACCAATCAGTTTGACATGACTATAAGGTCATGCCATTTGGTTGATGCTTATAGTTCGATTCAAAACAGGGATATAAGTAAGGATCTCTATTAAACATCTTGTAGTTTTTTATGTAAAAGTTAAAAAAATATTCATTTTGCTTGGATCTGGTTTCATACCTTTGAGGTTTTGAAACTAAAATTCTTTTTGAACGCTATGTTTGAGCTTTTGTTAAGCTATTTTTTCTTGCGATCCAAAATGAAAGACCTATGAACCTCTCTAAAAATATTATAGTTTTTCATGTAGATGCCAAAAACCAAGCATGGGCCATTTTTATTTGATCTAACAGCATAGCTTTTGTAGTTTTGAAATTAAAATTCTTCCTAGAATGCTACATTTGAGTTTTTAGTTAAGTTGGTTTCCAAAAAATCTGAGAATTCTAAATTCTTGGTTCAGAAAGTAGTATGTTGTCATGTAATTTTCCAGCATACATCCTCAAGTGAAATCTGAAGTTCCTTAACAAAGCAAATGCTCAAAGTTAGGTTTAAATGTGAAAACAGATTCAAAAGAGTTCAAAACAATATCAATTTTTTTTATTGATGCTAAAGATAATGCAAACATGTAGGATCGAGGAGGCTGACTAGAGGATAGTGAATAGTTGGTTTTAAATCTTTTAGCAAGACCTAGCCGATAAAGATGTAAAATTGGAATTAACAGCTAAAACACGACTACACTCCCTAGACTAAGATCACAAGCACCCTATGTCTAGGTTGAGTTTTGCAATACCAGGGTGACAAGGTAGAAAGTTTATTTCTAAGTATTTAAACAACTTGAATGCAGAAGAGCTTAATTAAACAAATAACAATTGAAGACATCAAATTTTTTAGCATGGTCTTGGTGATTTGCCGATCACCCTTAATTCACGTTGAAGTGGGTTCAATGTTTATGGCTTCTCTATCAAGCCTTACAACCTGCAAGATTATCCACTACCTCGTACGTTCGATCTCTAAACCGGTTGAACCAAAGAACCACTCCACACCTCGGATTCACTAAAGTTGCTCTCTGCCTTCCTCCGGTGGAGATGAGCACAAGAGCCCCTCACAAATCAATCTCTAGAGTAAGCGCACAATCTTCTTAATAAAATAATTGCATTTTTCGTGTATCTATGTATGAGAATGAAATCCACTAGGGTCCTTGAACTTGTCCCGTAATCTCATCTAGGTCCATGTACTTCGAAAACTAAGACTGCAGGTCCTTTATAATTTGCTAAATGTATCATTTAGAGCCCAAACTAGCTTGGGTAGCCTATTTTCTCCCATGCTGACTGCTATGGGCAAACCTGCCGCTGATGGTTTTGGCTTTTGATGATCAAACCGGCAAACTCTCGTGCACACCTTGCCAGACATGACTCACTGATGTTGACACGTGTCCGACCTCTGCCAAGGTTGATGCCTTCGTTTTCCTTCTTGACTTGACCGACACCATCTTCATCACCCAAGTAGATGCATGTCTAGCCTCCACCAAGTGACATGATGCCATTGTCCTCGTTCTTGACTTGGTTGACGCCATCCTCATTGCCCATGTACTCTTACTCTTCACGTGCCCAATGTGAGTCGCACACGGTCCGTTCTCTGGCCTATGGTCCTTCGGTCTAAGCCTTCTCATCCGCCCTTCACAATTCCTAGTCCATCACGCACGGACTCCGCATTGGATCTTCTCCATCGTCATCGATCGTCTTGACGTACCCAACATCTCGTTACTATTAGCATAACCAAGCACATATGAAATATGACTCAACTGAGAAAACCTTAAACCTCTGAACTCTTGTGCCAATCATTCATTACAAATGGATGAGACCAAGACACTTCTCAACTTTTTGTCTCGCAGTTAATCATCTAACTGATGATTTTGTGAGTACCACAAGAATTTTTATTTGTCCGTTGACTGACATATGGGGTCTAGTAGTGATATGAATGATGAGATAGTAAATTTTTGTTCATGGATGGCATGCAGATGCCAATGCAAGTAGGCCCATGAAGTCACAAATCCATAGTTCATGGGTTTATGTAGCATCTTTTAAGAAGTTTAAGGAATCGTTGGTGTACTTTTATTCTTCTTTTTATATATGCTACTTAAACTTGCGAATCCTGGCTTTCATATACAACCAGATTAAGGAGAGGTGGTCAAAAAGTAAAGCGCTAAGCTATGTCGCTCACGGAGTGATTAAGGTGTACACTTCAGATCAGATTAATTTACTGCTGGTTGTAACTGGTGAGCAAATTTAAACGAAGCTGTAGGACAGTAGCCAGTAGGAGTATGCATGCAACTGTGCTCTTAACAGCAAACGCCTAGCTACCGATAGGATTGTATTCAAATCATTGATCTTATGATGAACAGACGGATCAATTAAAGTATAGTACTCCTGTAGTAATAAATCAATGTGGGGTGCTTCAGACACGTGAATTTCGTAGTGGACGCATAACGAGACCAAGTTGATGTTATTTTTAGGCGTGGTATCTCAAGCAGAGTACCTATACGAAATACTACTACATGAATCGAGGACCTTGCCTTAGCGACTTGGCGTTAAAAATACTACGAGTATATTTTCCCCGCGCTTCTGGACATCGTGCACCTCCAAACTCACTCTGATTGATGCAAAGCAACGTGATCCTCTGAGATTAACAATTAGATTTGGGCGCTATACCTCTGCCCATAAGTATACACACCAAGATGTGCGTGAACTGCAGGTGAAGAAGTAGCCAGTCGCAGCAGTACAGCACGCACCTGAGCTGAGCTGCTGACCTATGGGGTCCCATCAGATGACGGTGTCGTCCTTGCGACGACCAGTGCCGCCGTGTTCGTGCTGCTTCTTTGCGGCTTCGGCACGCCGACGGCAATGGCTGCCGGAGGAGGGGCGCAGCAGCAGCAGTACTACGGCGGAGCCAGGTACAAGGACCCGAGGCAGCCGCTGAACCGTCGGATCGACGACCTGCTGGGGCGCATGACGCTCGCGGAGAAGATCGGGCAGATGTCACAGATCGAGCGCGAGAACGCCACCGCCGACGGCGTCCGTGGCTACTTCGTAGGTACGCACGTCACGTCGGTCCGCATGGCGGCCGGCGTGGTTGAAGCTAGCGCATCAGTGTCGATCGTGCCGTACTGAGTTGTGTGACGTGCGTGAAGGGAGTGTGCTCAGCGGCGGAGGCAGCGTGCCGGCGCCCCAGGCTCCGGCGGAGGCATGGGTCGACATGGTCAACGGGATGCAGCGGGTGGCCACGTCCACACGCCTCGGGATCCCCATGCTCTACGGCATCGATGCCGTCCACGGCCACGGCAACATTTACGAGGCCGCCGTCTTCCCGCACAACGTCGGCCTTGGCTGCACCAGGTGACTCCTGATGGATCTAAAAAAAATTTTAGGCGTAGATCAGTGGATAATACTTAGCTTAGATAGAAGACTTGGATCGCCAAGCGCAGTCGCGGCCATGACGCCGCCAACATGGTGGCCGCGAAGGCAGTAGAGGTAGCCATCAACGCGCCCGCCAGGTCATCGAAGGTAGCAGCAGCACAAGCGCGGTGCTGTGGCGGCGGTGAAGGCGATGGAGCTTCCCGTCGCTTACATCGCCCCTCTCGATCGATCTAGGGTTAGGAACTTCGGTGGGGCACTGGCGGCTACAGTGAACCTCATCTTTTGTGCCCTAGCCCCACCGTCCTTTTATGACGCTATGCGACGGGGGTCCATCAGCTAGTAGAAAGGCTGAGCGCCCTCGATCAGAGCGCGGATCAAGGGCCCAAGGTGGAGATCAACCTAACAACTCCCATCCCTGGCCAAATGACCCAGTCGTTATATATGTTCTCTTCCCTTAAGTATACTTACAAATGTCACCGTCATCGTAACTATGGTGTGTGAAACAAGATTGAGATGGTTAGCCGCACGCTAGGCACAATGGCCTTCGGATATCTTTCCCATGTATGGTTGCGTTGGAGGCTTAACAAAAGAATCGACCATGCTTGAGGCTTTCGTTATGGTATTACGAGTGATATTTAGCCGTCTCTCTTCATACATATAAGACTTTCTTTTAGGGCAGGCGCCCCTCTTCGGATGCCCGTGCCTGCCCCACTTGCTGCGCAAGCTGTTGCGCCTGTCCGGGCCTGCTGTGCTTCCCGCCCGCCCCGTGCCTGCTACTACGTCTACCCGACGTTTGTACGCTCGTCGGGTAGGGTTTCCCTGCTGAGCTCGAACTCCCATGGTGAGATGGAGGGAAGGGAAGGAAAGGAAGGGGAGGTAGAAGAAAGGAAAGGCCCAGGCGCGCCGCGCGAGGAAAGCACGAGGTAGGAGCCGAAGCCCTACGGCAGACCGCTGTCCGCCAGACACCGGCGTCATTGCAACACCAGATCTACTTTTGAAATATCCAGATGAAACATTTGCATCATAAGTCTGAAATAGATGAAACACTTGAAATATGCTCTTGAAACATACGAGTGTAGCCATAGCAACATGTGTAATACCAAGATCTACTTTTGAAACATTCAGATGAAACATTTGCAACATACAGAAACACCTGAAACACTTGAAATATAGGCTTGCAACATGCGTATTTTGTCATTGCAACATATGCAACATCCCAGATATACTATTGCAACATCCAGATAAAACACTTGAAATAAAAGTCTGAAACACCTGAAACAATTAAAACACAGCGATCCCCTATGAGGCCATGCCACGACCTACCTGGTGGGGAACTGCGATAGATCGGCGAGGAGTACAAGGAGCGGATGGAGGCCGCCCTAGGGGGCGCAGGAGTGGCAACGGCGAGCCCAACCGAGCAGGGAGGCCGAGGCAGACCGCCGCGAGGAGAGCAATCTCTCAGGCCGCCATGACGCCGTGGGCTGCCTCCGGCACCCTTACCACCGCCGGCGCCGACAGCACATACCCCATCGGAGTATTATCATTTTTTTAGGAGATGTCTAGTCAAGAACGGGTTGTTTTAGTCCCTCTCATCAACCAAATTTTTCATATGCACTTACACTGTCTTATAGCTATATTTACACTACATTATAGCTATATTTACACTACCTTATGACTATATTTACAATGATTTATTCGGTGTAATTTATTGGACAGTGTGATGTAATTTGGGGATAACACAAATATATACTAATTTTTTAAAAAAAAAATACAAATTATTTTAATAGATTCCAGCTATCAAAGAGATATATGTCAAATTGTTCACAAATTCTTCAGAAATTTCAAAAAAACAAAATCCACACAAGGAGGTGAGAGAGGAGAGACTGGGTGTCCCGTGCTCACGTTCGTGTGTCAGGCAGGGACACATGCACCAGCATGATTGCTTGCTTGATGCTGAAGTGGTGTAGCTGCAGCAGGTGATGAGTCACGGGACGGCCACGAGGGAAGGTGCTGAGGACCAGGTGGAAGTGGTGGACGGCGGCATGTGGCATCGGTCCGGGGCGTGAGGAGGCCGTCGCTTCCGTATCGTATGGCCCAAAATACGGTTGATAACAACTGGTAAATTAACCGGTTGATCATTAGCTTTTCGGTTTTATTATGTCGCTAACAGTATGTGTTCCTTTGTCTTGTGATGCTAAAAAGAAAGTAGAGGCATTTTTCTGAGGGCACGTTGTAATAATAAAGAAAAACCCATAGATGTCAGACATGGTGTGCGACTGTGCGTGCAAGGATCTCCCTCTGCATTGCGTTTCGAAAAATAAAGTCCCACGTGACGGACGCTTAAGGAGATGGTTGACCATTTGTCTGTGGCTCCACACTGATATCGATATAGCTAGTGAACGCGCGCTTCTCGTGGATAAAAAGATTATTATTTTACTTACTCTATTGCTATACTGGAGTAGGCTAAAAGAATTAACTACTATACTCTATTTTTTTTTTCCAAATCATAAAATATTTGGCTTTTCTAAATACATACATATATTAGTTATATCTAAATGCATAGTTAAATAGTTTTATAATTTAGAATGGAGGGAATACATCCATTTTAAATGATACTTAGCTGTGTATTCAATCAAACTTCTACTTTGACCGATTTGATTGAAAAATCTACCAACGTATATAACATTAAATTAGCTGTAATAAATTTTCATTAAATATATTTTCATAACCAACCTCTAGATGTTACTATTTTTTTGAAAAATATAGTAAAATGTTTTAGTACAAAGCAAAAGTAAAGTAATTTAGAACGGGTGAAGTATTAATAGTAGAGTGCTTGACTGTCCCAAATCGAATTGGTGATCGAGTGTACAAGTAAATTCCGATCCAGCAGCAGCCAGCAGCTTAAACTCAAAATTATGGGGGTTGACGAACAAATTATTCACCATCACATAACTTGAGCATCACATGAAAACTTTCGGCCGATTACTGGCGGTTGTGATTTGTAGATAAAATTTTGGTGGTACTCGAACATTTTTCAATTGATGAATCGATCAGAGACCCAGAGCTGGTAAAGAAGATTGGAGCAGCAGTGGCACTGGAGGTCAGGGCCACCGGAATCACTTACGTGTTCGCCCCATGCGTTGCGGTACGCACCTGATCGCAGATTAATTAGCCAAGGCCAAAATCACATGCCAAGAGATAAACTTCTTCTTCTACCTTGCTGCTCGCTGGCAGGTGTGCAGGGACCCGAGGTGGGGCCGGTGCTACGAGAGCTTCAGCGAGGACCCCAAGGTGGTGCAGGCGATGACGTCCATCATCCCCGGGCTGCAGGGCGAGATCCCCGCCAGCGGCCGCCGGGGCACGCCGTTCGTCGCCGGGCAGCGCAACGTGGCGGCGTGCTCCAAGCACTACGTCGGCGACGGCGGCACGACGAGGGGCATCAACGAGAACAACACGGTGGCCAGCTTCCACGACCTGCTCAGCGCCCACATGCCGCCCTACTACAGCGCCGTCATCCAGGGGGTCTCCACCGTCATGGTCTCCTTCTCCAGCTGGAACGGGGTCAAGATGCACGCCAGCCGCTTCCTCATCACAGACTTCCTCAAGAACAGGCTTCGCTTCAGGGTTCGCACGTACCTTCTCTGTTACTCCTACATGACATATCTGTGAAACTGTAAATTGATTAGTATTTTTCAGGGTTTTGTAATCTCGGATTGGCGAGGACTGGACAAGATGACGAGCCCTGAACACGCGGACTACATGATGTCCGTCCAGCTGGGGATCCTTGCCGGCATTGACATGGTCATGATCCCGTACACATACACCGAGTTCATCGACGACCTGACGGCGCTGGTGCAGAACGGCACCATCCCGATGAGCCGGATCGACGACGCCGTGCGCCGGATCCTCCGCGTTAAGTTCACCATGGGCCTCTTCGAGAACCCCTACGGAGACGCCAGCCTGGGCGGCGAGCTGGGGAAGCAGGAGCACCGGGAGCTGGCGCGGGAGGCCGTGCGCAGGTCCCTCGTCCTGCTCAAGGACGGCGACAAGCCGCTGCTGCCGCTGCCAAAGAAGGCCCGCGGCAACATCCTCGTCGCCGGCAGCCACGCGCACAACCTCGGCTACCAGTGCGGCGGCTGGACCATCACCTGGCAGGGCCTCGGCGGGAACAACCTCACCACTGGTATGGCTGCACGCCGAAATTGGGCTATGCTATGCATGCACATGCACCGCGCGCCACAAATTAAAATTTAAATCTGCTGGAAATCGCACACGCGCAGGGACCACGATTCTCGACGGCATCAGGCGCGCCGTGGACCGCGGCACCGACGTTGTCTACTCCGAGAGCCCCGACGCCGGCTTCGTCCAGCAGAACAAGGGGCGGTTCGACTACGCCGTCGTCGTCGTCGTCGAGCCGCCGTACGCCGAGTCGTTCGGGGACAACCTCAACCTGACCATCCCGGCGCCCGGGCCCAGCGTCATCCGGGACGTGTGCGGCAGCATCAGGTGCGCCGTGGTCCTCGTGTCCGGGCGGCCGCTGGTGATGGAGCCGTACATGGGCGCCGTGCAGTGCAGTGCCGGCCCTGGGGTAGGGCATGAGGTGTGACGGCCGAGGCCCAAGCTCAGGTATATAATCCTCCGGGTCCTATAGTCTATTAGGTATTAGCAAACTAATAAAAAGAGAGATATATAATTAGTCAGGGTGTCAAAAAGACAATATTAACATTTCTTTCCTAGTTTTCTTTCCCCACTGCCCTCGAGTAGAGAGGAGGCAAGGAGTCACGCTGCACACAGCACACTCTGATCGTGAGTTCGCGACGTGCGCCTTACACACGCGGAGCTGGCGAGCCACGCCACCGCGAAGAGCTAGACTACCGGAGACACGGACACGACGCACGAGGACGGCGACCAGGCAGGGCCCCACACGACGACATCTTGATTCTTGGCTTCTTACGAATTACGATCACCAATCAGTTGTTTAGGCCCAAGGTATTTTTTTTTTTTTTTTTTTTTTAATCAAATTAATTATTTGTATAGTATTTCAGACTTATAGTATTTTATACCCGTATAGTCATATTTTTCTTCTAATTTAGGTGTTAGAATTTTAGAATGTTATCTAAGAAAAATTTGTCATGTGTGAGAAAAGAAAACGAATATATTGATTTTTTAATCTACATTGTTCCTCGATAATTATCATACATGTACAAATATATTGCTTAATTTATATTGTTCCTCGATAATTATCAGACATGTTAAATTAAAAATATGTTATTAAATTTGTTTTCGTTTTGCAAGTAAAATTAACGTCTAAATATTATAAGATTTTATACTTGGTCAGAGGGGCTGTTGCGACGAGATCGTGGGCTTAAAATTGTAGGACCGGCACTGGCGCCGTGGACGCGCTGGTGGCGGCGTGGCTGCCGGGCACGGAGGGGCAGGGCGTCAGCGACGTGCTGTTCGGCGACTACGGGTTCACGGGGAAGCTGGCCAGGACGTGGTTCCGGTCGGTGGAGCAGCTGCCCATGAACGTCGGCGACGCGCACTACGATCCCCTGTTCCCGTTCCGGTTCGGGCTCACCACACAGCCAACACAGCTTTGATTAGGAGACAACCGAGAGTGGTTTTCTCGGCGTCCATTTTGCTCCGAGATTTGTGCTGCTAGGGGAGGGAGGGGGAGAGGATTTTGCTTCAAGATACGTGCTGCTGTGGGAGGGAAGGGTCAATGAACATTTCAGATAGGCCGCTCGCATGGATGTGTGGTCTTGCCTTTGCCGGAGACAACTAACCTTCAAGGTTTCAAGTATGTCATGAAACAGGTCTGAGTTGTTTTATTTGTTGTTGCCAAAAGAATAAAGGATAAGGTTTTGTTTGGTATCACTCGATATGGCTCTCTTTTGCTTTGGTTCCACGAGCAGCTCAATTGTAATTCTTGTGCTATGTGAGGTGTGCCATTTTTATGTCTTGGACATCATTACTTATTAGTCATCCCATATATAGACCTTCATATTTTTATATTGCCAAAAATAATCCTATTATAGCATTATTCTCCCCTCTTTCTACCTCGCCGCCATGCAAGCCCTATTAATCATCTCCTTCCTCTCCCCTGGCCTCCATTTCCGTCCTTGCTCGAGCACTAGCTCCTCATCAACCGAACACCTAAGCACCACCGTGCTCTCCTCCACCACCTCTTCCCTAACCACCTTGCCTCCCCCTTGTGGATCGTTGCCATGTCCATAGCATCCATCACTAGGGTAGCATATGTGATCTAGAGAGAGGGAAGGGAAAGCAGATGTGTGGATGAACTCTCGTGGCTTTGTGATCTAGTCGCATATGCCAAAACGCGCAGCGTGAGGTTGGTGGAGCCTAGCCCAACCATCCATATAGGTGGCACCACAGTGATGTTTTTTAGTATGGTTGCAAGGATATTCGCAAAGAGCATGCTAGAAATATGCACCAAATCACAAATATATTGAATGAAACTTGAATCGATTCTTATACCGGCTTTCCGGGGAGTTTGTCTGTTGAGCTGTCCAAACCAGTGGATGCACCTAGAACTCGAGGAGAAAGTAGACCGGTCCAAACCCTAGAAAATAAATTAAAACACAAGCAATAGCAATAAAAGCACAACACACAAGAGACAAGTGATTCATCTCATGGTTCAGCTTATCACTAAGGCTTGCTTAAGCCCAAGTTATTGAGAGAGCCACCAAGGCTTGGAGTTTCTTCCAACTCCTATCCCTTCTCAAGACCACCACCAAAGTAATGAGTTTGATAAGGGTCCCACTAAGTCAATCGGGGTAATACAAACTTTTCATAGCACCTCACAAAGTTAGGAGTGTTGCATGAGCAACCTCTATCCAGCTAGGAGCCTTGCTCCAAGAGTAATGAAAACCACCCGTGACTAGGGTTTCACCAAGTGTTTGAATGGGAAGGAGCTTAATCTTCTTTAGTCTCTCTCAAGGCCATCACCACAAGGAATCACTAAGATTTGGACCTGGGTGGTTGGGAGCTTCAATGGAGGAGAGAGAAATGAATGCTAGTCAGTTGGAGTGAATGAATGAGGAAGATGCTTGTTGGGGGAGAAAGAGGAGAAGAATAAATACCCCTATGCCCCCACAGAAACGGTCGACAGACAGAGCGTGGAGGCTCCACGGCGCGGTTCCGCGCAAGACAAAAAATGATATGAATGGTAAGCTCTTGACTGTGTTAGGCTAGATCACCATGTTCGCTTGATCGTTTCTGTGGCTTATAAGCCGGCTGATGCTGTTTTGTTGTGAGAGAAATATTGTATCATGGCTGATAAACATGACTGATACGATGAAGCGAACAAGAGTGGTTGTTTTGTGTATTGGTATGGATTTGTGAGTACTTGGTTCATCCTAGCATACCGGTGATATCCCTTTAATAGCATGGCTTGTCCTGTACTCGATTTTAAAAGATAAAATGAATTTAAACTAGTCCAATTGAGCTTCCAAACCATTCCTTTCGAGTTTTTTGGGTGGTCTCCTTTTAAATGTCATGCATCCACGATGATTAATCAGATGTCAACACTTAACAAATGTCATTAGTTCCTTAGTTGTATAATCAACATCACCAAAACTCACTTAGAGCTTGTTTGCACTTACAAAATACAACTATTTGTAAATGGCTATATCAACAATAACAATCTAGATCGACCTGTGGCATGGTTGGATGGTTTTCATGCATTAGATTTGTTTTGTAAAGAGCATCCAATGAGTAAGATATGAGGTGGATAGAAACCAATTAGATGATAGTATTTGTATATATATATATATATTAGAATTATAGATAGATAGATACAGTTGAATATGTTTTAAGGATCTATTTGGCATTACTTCCTTTTTAAATGATTATTCGAAAGAGGCGAAGCATTTTAGGAGCCACTTTTGCCGCATACCGAATTCTCTATTGTGCACTAGAAAACAACGCTATTGGAGTTGAAGTTGGATGCACGCCAAACGAAATGCCAAACAGTGTTGTTGTCTATTGTGCACTAGAAAAGTGCTGTTGGAGTCGAAGTTGGACCCACGTCAAACAGATCCTCCCACAAGGAGTAGTCAAAGTTTCCTATTTTATCTTTTTCTGCTTTTTGCAATTTTTGATAGCTGATATTTCTAGCAGTAGGGGGGAAAAAAACATTCCTTCCCTCCGGGGCAAAATGAGATCCGCCGCAGCACCGTGCCCACTTCCCAACCCAAACCCCGATGCGTCCCCACCTCCGGCGCCGATGAGACCGCGCGCCCCGCAGCTTCGGCACCAGCCGCCGCACCTCGTCCTCTCCGAGGCCGTCGCCTCCTGGCACCCCTTCCACAAGAAGCCCTGTCTCTCGGACCGCTCCACCGCGCCCCCTCCTCAGCCCGCCTCCCTGATGCGGAGACTCCGACGCCTGCCCCCTCGGGGGGCGGTAGCGGCGGATCCTTCCGCTGGTTCGGGCTCCGCAAGCGGTGCCGCCGCGGTGCGGGCTCGCGGTCCGTGTCCGGACGCAGCAGCGACCGCCGGAGATCCGGCACGTGCTCCGACTTCCATTTCACGTGCGGTGCCGGTGGCGGCGGCGCCACTGACTCCAGCGGGGAGATGTGGGCGTCGGATATCGGGGAGATGCGGATGAGGGACGTGCCGATGGCGACGGAGTTCGGCCCAGCGCCCGTTGGTGGGGTTGCTGCCGGGAGTGGTGGCGTCGGCGCTGCAGCGGAGGCAGCGGCCGCCGATTCTGGGTACGGGAGCGAACCTGGGTACCGTGGCGACGTGGAGCTGGGATACGGAGATGAGATCGACGAAGAGGAGGAGGATGGGAAGCAGCAGCTGTTCTGGGGCGGGGTGATTGGAGGTGATAAGCGTCCTTGAATTCAATTCTTTGGATAGACACTGCTCTTAGCTTTTGGCACTGTTGGCAGCATTACTTTGTGCACTTTGATTTAGAATATGTTTGTTGGAACATCTTCGTTTGTTAACTTTGTAGATTGAGATTCTGGTGTCGATGGATATTTCTTGTTTGGGATCAAATAATTCTAGGTCATTGCACTCATCTGTTCTTGGCTCCCGTAATGTGTCGTTAGTCTTGCTCGTTGGTGTTGATGTCTGACCATAAATATCTGCGGTGGATTAGTTGAGTCAAAACAGATTTGAGGGGAAATGCATTTGTTTACCAAATACCCATACAATATGCTTGTAGTTGTATGGCTGACAAAATGACTATGCCTGATTAATATTCCTTTATACTCCTGATCACAAATATATATATATTTTTATAACAAGATCACAAATGTTTGTTTTTCATGGCATTGATGTGACCTACAAGATGGAACTTTGACTAGAAGTATCTATAAAAAATATTGTTTCGAATATAAAGAGTTACTCCCTCTGTCCTGGAATGAGAAGCGTATTTTGATCAGAGAAAAGTTGTACAAAATTTATTTGACCCTTAATTTCTCTTGCAATATGTTGACATTTTCTAAATAATCAATATCATTTCAGAGGCACTTTGAATGCAAATATATTAATGCAAGTTTCATGTCCTAAACTTGTATATAACTTGACTAATTGTTGGTAGAAGTTTGTAAAATTTCACTTTTCCCCGTACAAAATACGCTTATCATTCTGGGATGGAGTGAGTATATATTATGGGAGTATTTTTTTTTCATGTAGTAATAGCAGTGTTATTTTGTCAATCTATATGATTTTTAGCTACAGATGGTCAAAGCTAAAGACACTTGACATGGGACAAGCCTAAAATGATTTATATTTACGATGGAGGAAGTATAGTGTTACCTGAGATAATTTGGTCTGGTGTGGGGCATGCTTTCTATATGCATGTCGGTACATGTATAGTATCTCTAGACTTCTTTTATGTTCCACCTATTTTTGATTTGTATTGAGATCTGTGAGCTTCAGATTGGACTAATGTAACTAATGTAAACAAAACAATGAATTCCCAAAAATGATTTCTTGTTTAGGTTGACGTGCTTGAACCGTGACTAGGGGCTCATGTTGGGTTTCAACTCTAGCCTACCCCAACTTGTTTGGGACTAAAAGGCTTTGTTGTTGTTGTTGTTTAGGTTGGCGTGTACATGGTATGTTATTAACATGCACATTTTGATCCCTTTCCCTCAAAATATCTGAGACTGATCCTGTGGTACTGCAATTTTAATCAGGCCAAAGCTGACCCTGTTTGAAACTGGTAGCACGGACACTCCTAATGGGTTTAATGGTTTATGCAATCTGACCAAATATTCCGTTGTTGTAATCCAGCGATGTGGTTCATTTTGATATGAATTTCTTATGTTGGGCGTCTTTTTGTTGATACATTTTTCCGATGTTTCCATTTGTTTCTAGATTTAGCTTCGATATGCTTGAAATCTCATTTACATTTGAATTTTCGACGTATCTCATCTACTATTTTTTTTGCAAGTAACATTTAGTGAGCTGGCTTAGGGTAAGTGTTATGGGTGGATGGAGGGCCAGCCCACCTGCCTCTTGGCAAGGGATAAGGATTAGGAAAGAGATTAGATTAGATCAGGTTACTTCCTTGTTTCTAAAGATTAGTTTCTTAGGGTTCAAGTCTCCTCTCATCTATATAAGGATGGAATAGTGTCTCCTTTCAATCATGCGATGAAGAAGAATTAATCCAATTCCCCAAAATTACTCTAGTTTCCCTCCACGCAGACTTTGCCCGGCCATCTTCCTGGCAATGGTTATACCCAAATGATCTAAGGATCATAACATCTGGTATCAGATTGCTTTGGTTTCGATCCAATCCCATGGCTTCTGCTACCGACGGTTTCTGCACCCTCGTGAGGGGCCCATCACATCTCGGAGGAATTCCATCATGTCTCCGCACTGGTCCTCCGTCTCCTCAACTGGATCGACGCGAAGATGGAGCGTGAACGTCGGGCAGCAGTATGCCTACAGGTAACAACCCGTGGACTCCTGGCACGCTGGCTGGTGCAGTCTCTCCGTGGGGAGCAGCGTCCGGCTGTCTGTCCTAGAGCCCTCACGTGGCCATCGTCAGAGGAGCAGGCAGCTGTGCGCCTGCAGGCAGCAGGGCGAGGTTTTCATGCCCGGTGGATGGTGTGGATGATACACGTGCCATTCAGACTGGTGCCGTGGTGAATCGCAGCCTGCATGTTCCACTGCTCGAACTCACCTATACTTCCTGCGGCTCCAATTGAAAGTAGAGGTCCGGGTATGGAGCCTCCCTGCATGGCGATCGACCAGCACAATGCAATGGCAAGCATTGACGGCGGCTCAATCTTTGTCAAGAATTGCGGCGGCCGTCTCGTCTATTCTGGCACCCACCTTGGTTTTGTTGGGCAGGCCCAGTGTACTAGTGAGCTGCTACATCCTCCACTCCTCAGCCCACTTGAGGCCAACTGTCAGGCTATTCCCATGGGATCCAGTAGGAATGTTGTTGCCTGCTGAACTCCTGGTGTGGCGGTCTGTAGTGCATGGGACGACACCTCAATGGAACCAGTAGCACCAAAGGTTGCAACTCTGCCCTCCAACAGGTGGCGCACCATCACCATGGAAGCCGTTTCGGTGTGCTACCTCCTTGTGCCTCAGGATGGGGTTCAGCATTGATTGGGGACACGACACCAATAAAGAGGCCAACTTTATTTCGTGTTTTAGTTTCAAATAACAAAACTAAGCCGAGATGTAAAAGGCTTAACCATGAGTCTGCGGCAGCTCGTGGGCGAGCTGCTCGTAACGGGCGGAGAAGTGTTATGGGTGGCCGGAGGGTCACCACCTGCCTCTCATGGCAAGGGATAAGGATTAGGAAAGAGATTAGATTAGATCAGGTTACTTCCTTATTTCTAAAGATTAGTTTCTTCGGGGTCAAGTCTCCTCTCATCTATATAAGGATGGGATGGTGTCTCCTTTCAATCATACGATGAAGAAGAATTAATCCAATTTCCCCAAATTACTCTAGTCTCCCTCCACGCCGACTTTGCCTGGCCATCTTCTTGACAATGGTTATCTCCAAATGATCTAAGGATCATAACAGCAAGTACCGTTAATGCCAGATTCATCTGAAAGAATAGTGTGCCATAAGTCTGGTTTCCCGTTCAGTTTGATTCCTCATGAATTCTTTTATTTTATTTGCCCGCTTATTTAGTTTTGGAAACACAGCCTCTGCTGAGGCTGCTAAACCATGAAACTTCAGAAAAATGGACCAAGTTAATGCATGCGCCAAAGATCTGAAAGGGTAATTGTGTGAAATTGATGGTTTAATGTCTGTATCACTAGCTTGGGTGGTGCTATGGTAGCAGGCTAGCAGCACAGCAAAGTTCAAGCACATGGCTGAAGAAGGGGCAATACGTAGAGTAACTCCCAAGATAGGAATAAAAACAAGACGTAATAAAAAAGTATCGGCGTAGAAAGTTTCTATTGAAAGATCTAAACAAGGAAGAGCACTCGCCATTTGTTGGTTATTAGAAGCATCCCAAAAGCGCCCGGGTCGAAATATGGCTTTCAAATTAAGCATCCCAAAACTCGTAAGGCGAGGTGCCATGTGTCTGGTGGCCTGTGCCCTCAGTGGCCCTACTGGCAGCACCGCAGTGTCCAGGCCCCAAGCAGGCCATCGGCTTTCCGGTTGCAGCCTGCAGGGTGCATGCGCTGGCATTGACACATTGTCAGGGGATAAGGGTTCGGGGCGCCAGCTAATCCTTTTATTATTTGTGGCGAGATTCTGCTGTTCCCTCTCAAATTATTCTGTTGTTTCATTCTTGAGCTCTGGAATTTGCTTGGCTTGGGAGCTGCAGCTTCGCTCCCTTGCGCGGCGCTAATGAAAATAACAGAATTGGCTAATCCATCAGTTAGGGGTTTGAGAATGTTCCTTGAGTCTTCAGTTTTCTTAGCACTTTTTGTTCGAATAATTCTGGAATTGGTTAAATGCTGGGAAGTCGCTGAGAAAGCAATTTCACGTATCGAGCAACTGGGGTTGGATAAAATCTTTTTTGGTAATTTTCTACCCACAGCTGCTCTGATAAGTGTTGCTTGAGCATTTTAGATTGGTATTATTGGTTGTGTTCCTTGTTACATCTATTGTACCATTTAGTTTAATGCTACTAAGATTTTAGCCTTTCATTATTAAGCCCTCCCTTTAGTCCATTTCTCATCTGCCACTGGGTAGCTTGGCTAGTTCTTGATTGCTAATGAATGATAATGCCATGTCTTGTATAGATGGGAAGCCATAACAATCAAATTTGACCTCCCTTTGAGGAAACATTTAATTTTTCCGTTACTCCTAGTTTATTTTGAGGGAACAAGTAAAAAACAAACTCTTCCACACCTGCCCAGAGGCCAGGTCCTCATATGTAACTCTGATCTGATATTGTCAGCCCAACGTGACAAGGTAGCGAACTAGCAATTGTGCATCTTCCATGACTTGGAAGGGTTGTTGCAACACTTTTTTTCTTCAATGTGAAATACTGTTCCATACATGTCTAATGTCCTATTGCATTTGGTAATTCAATGTGCTTGTACACTAGAGTAAGAGTTTAAGGGAAAAAAATCAACATTGCTACATTAGTTCTTGATTAAGGATTTAAGGAAAAAAAATCTTTTTGACCATACTTTCAGAATAGGAAATGTTGTCCTTTTGCAAAGATTAACTTGTCATACGCTTGCACCATTTTGGATAGATGGCTAGTCCTTATGTTTGCTGCAGTCAACTGACTGAAGATAGTTTTTATTTCTAAAATTGTTGGTTGTCTGGTGCAATTGTGATCATGCTATCATGAACTCATGGCCCTCGTATAATGGTATTGGTTTCCTGCAGCTACCACTACCGGAAACGTTCTTGGATTTTGGATTTATATTTTTATGTTGCAATGTATGCTCTTTAT